AAGGGAACTGGGATTGTCATGTAAAACAATCTCGTTTCTAATTCAAATAGAAAAAAATCTAAAAAAAATTGAAAATAAAGTCAAGGATTTAAAAAAAGGGGGAAAAAAGAATGTTCCATTTATAAATTTTGTTGACTAAGCCAATATATATATGTGTGTATTTTGAATTATGTACAAATGATTATATAGTATGTATTTATATAATATATAAATAATTATTAACACAATTATAGTATCATATTATGTATAACATATATTTTGAATTATATATAAATATTAAATATTAAAGACCAACAATATCCTGGACCAAATGAGTCACAGTCCTGGCTGGAGTCAGCCTATCTGTTTCCAGTCAGAACCACTGGTGTGCATATTGTTCTGGATGCTGGTGGTCAAACTCAAGTCTTCATGATTATGACATAAGCACTTTACCCACCCATTGTTATTATTTAATATTTAGTTTTGTACTGTTGGGGATGAAACCCACATTTTTGCTCATGCTAAGCCAGTAAGTACTCCACCTCAGGTCCACATCCCCACCCCTTCTGTTCACTGCTTCACCAGCAGCTTGACCTGGGCTGGGTTTGAGACCGGAAGTTCCCAGACTACTTCCAACCGTTTAACTCCCTTTCCACAAATTGATATTCTCAAAGTTTGCCATTGACCCAAAGGACAACGAGATGAGAGGAGCCCAGGCTGTTGACTTGTAGACTTGTGTTGCCACGGCAGGAGATGCTGGGCAGGCACACAGACAGGGTGTTTCTGATTTTCTTTCTTGAAATTCCTTTCCCCAGAGGCTCCTATGCTCCGGAAGCTCTTGTCATCTCCTCATTGAGGCAGACGAGGATGAGAGTTCTGTTGGGAGGCATTTCCACTTAATCAAGGCCAGTCATACCCAAGCTCAAGGATTAGCCTGAGATCTGCAGATTTGCACAATTGCTTGGGCAGCCTGTTTTCTGTCTTCACTACCTTGTTATCTGGCCCTTCTCTGAATTCCTGTAGCTTTTCCAGGACTTAAACAATGAGATTAACAGCTATCATTTTTTTGAATGCCTACCATATGCTAGACTCTCCAGTGGATCTTTCACAAATATTATTGATAATAACAACAGGAAAGATAACTAATATTTATTAAGCATCTACTGTATGCTAGGCACTGTGCCAAGCCTGGTACGGGTATTAACTCACCG